AAGTGCGTACGTCGCACACGGCGTGGGCGTGGGCGGCGGGGTACTTTTTAGGATTTATAATATAGACTAGAGGTACAGGTTTGCGCGATAACTGTATGTTTTGATTAATTATATGTGACGGATGCATTAGTTTGGGTGAGTAGCTTGTATTTTTAGCTGTATCATTTGGGTAGATTTGGGTAGCTGTTTTTAATATAATAACGATAGTTGCGGGGTGTCCAAGTCTTTTGTATGTTAGGCCCTTTTTTAACTCAACCCTACCCCTACCCTACCCCTACCCTACCCTACCCCTACCCCTACCCTACTCCTACACTACACTACACTACACTACACTACACTACACTACACTACACTACACTACACTACACTACACTACACTACACTACACTACACTACACTACACTACACTACCCTACCCTACCCTACCCTACCCTACCCTACCCTGTACCCTACCCTACACTACCAGCGACAGTCCAAGTTTCAGCTAAATCGGCCCAGAAACGGCTGAGATGTTGCAAAAATAAATTAATTGTATTTTCTGGTGAATCCCCTTGGCCAGCGGTGTCTTGTGTCGGCCTTCGTTGTCAAAGGTCAATGACCTCCCGGCTCTGATTATTTCCACTCGGTCTTTTTAAGCGAACAACTGAGCCTAAAGCACTTGCCCTCTGCTCGGCGCCGGTCGCGGCCCCACCACGTGCACACCGCTGAACGCACCCGCTCGAAAAGTTGACACGACAAATGAGTGCACGCGTCCGACTTGTAGCGAAAATTTCACCCCCGTAGCCCTCACCGTTCCCGAGTAATAGCGTGTTTTTGCCAATTCTAATGTTAACCCTATGGGCACGCGAGCACGCGCCGCGGGCGCACCCCCGGCCGCATCATGCCCAAAATTTAATACGACCTACGTGTAAAGGTGGCCCACATTTCTGTAAAATTTCACGGCCGTAGGTCAACAGACGCCGCCGCAATAAGCGCTACAAAGTGCGTACGTCGCACACGGCGGGGTACTTTTTAGGATTTATAATATAGACTAGAGGTACAGGTTTGCGCGATAACTGTATGTTTTGATTAATTATATGTGACGGATGCATTAGTTTGGGTGAGTAGCTTGTATTTTAGCTGTATTATTTGGGTAGATTTGGGTAGCTGTTTTTAATATAATAGCGATAGTTGCGGAGTGTCCAAGTCTTTTGTATGTTAGGCCCTTTTTTAACTCAACCCTACCCCTACCCTACCCCTACCCTACCCTACCCTACCCTACCCCTACCCTACTCCTACACTACACTACACTACACTACACTACACTATACTACACTACACTACACTACACTACACTACACTACCCTACCCTACCCTTCCCTACCCTACCCTACCCTACCCTAGGCCCTATTTTAACTCAACCCTACCCCTACCCTACCCTACCCTACCCCTACCATACTCCTACACCACACTACACTACACTACACTACACTACACTACCCTACCCTACCCTACCCTACCCTACCCTACACTACCAGCGACAGTCCAAGTTTCAGCTAAATCGGCCCAGAAACGGCTGAGATGTTGCAAAAATAAATTAATTGTATTTACTGGCAAATCCTCTTGGCGAGCGGTGCCTTGTGTCGGCCTTCGTTGTCAAAGGTCAATGACCTGCCGGCCCACTCAGTTTTCTAAGCGAACAACTGAGCCTAAAGCACGTGCTCTCTGCTCGGCGCCGGTCGCGGCCCCACCACGTGCACACCGCTGAACCCACCCCCTCGAAAATTTAATACGTCAAATGAGTGCACGCGTTCGACTTGCAGCGAAAATTTCACCCCCGTAGCCCTCACCGTTCCCGAGCAATAGCGTGTTTTTGCCTATTCTAATGCTAACCCTATGGCGCACTCGAGCACGCGCCACGGGCGCACCCCTGGCCGCATCATGTCCAAAATTTAATACGACCTACGTGTAAAGATGGCCCACATCGCTGTAAAATGTCACGGCCGTAGGTCAACAGACGCCGCCGCAATAAGCGCTACAAAGTGACTACGTCGCACACGGCGGATTATTTAGGATTTATAATATAGACTAGAGGTACAGGTTTACGCGATAACTGTATGTTTTGATATGTATGATTATCGGATGCATTAGTTTGGGTGTAGAAACTTGCATTTTTATTGGTATGATTTTTGTAGAACTGGGTAACTGCTTTTAATTGAACTGTAAAGTATGATGGTGATGCATGCGAGTTGTTCGAGCCCTTTGTAAGTTAGGATGTTACTGAACGCAACCCTACCCTACCCTACCCTACCCTACCCTACCCTACCCTACCCTACCCTACCCTACCCTACCCTACCCTACTCCTACCCTACCCGACCCCACCCTACCCTACCCTAACCTACCCTTACCCTACCCTACTCCTACACTACCCTACCCTACCCTACCCTACCCTACCCTACCCTACCCTACCCTTACACTACCCTACCCTACCCTACCCTACCCTACCCTACCCTACCCTTACACTACCCTACCCTACCCTACCCTACCCCTACCCTACTCCTACCCTACCCTACCCTACCCTACCCTACTCCTACCCTACCCTACCCTACCCTTACACTATCCTACCCTACCCTACCCTACCCTACCCTACCCTACCCTACCCTACCCTACCATACCCTACCCTTACACTATACCTACCCTACCCTTACCCTACCCTACCCTACCCTACCCTACCCTACCCTACCTAACTGTACCCTACTTAACTCTACCCTCCCCTACCCTACACTACCCTACCCTACCCTACAATCCCCTACCCTACCCTACCCTACCCCACCCTACAATCCCCTACCCTACCCTACAATCCCCTACCCAACCCTACCCTACAATCCCCTACCCTACCCTACCCTACCCTACCCTACACTACACTTCCACCGACAGTCCAAGTTTCAGCTAAATCGGCCCAGAAACGGCTGAGATATTGCAAAAACAAATTAATTGTATTTACTGGCGAATCCCCTTGGCGAGCGGTGCCTTGTGTCGGCCTTCGTTGGCTCTGATGCTTTTCACTCAGTTTTCTAAGCGAACAACTGAGCCTAAAGCACGTGCCCTCTGCTCGGCGCCGGTCGCGGCCCCACCACGTGCACACCGCTGAACCCACCCCCTCGAAAATTTAATACGTCAAATGAGTGCACGCGTCCGACTTGCAGTGAAAATTTCACCCCCGTAGCCCTTACCGTTCCCGAGCAATAGCGTGTTTTTGCCGATTCTAATGTTAACCCTATGGGCACGCGAGCACGCGCCAAGGGCGCACCCCCGGCCGCATCATGCCCAAAATTTAATACGACCTACGTGTAAAGGTGGCCCACATTGCTGTAAAATTTCAAGGCCGTAGGTCAACGGACGCCGCCGCAATAAGCGCTACAAAGTGACTACGTCGCACACGGCGGATTATTTAGGATTTATAATATAGATACGTGTATATTTTCACGACAGGTTATCTCTCGTTCAACTGATAATACATAAATCGTCAATACATACAATACATAACCTGCATTGAATTTATTTTTGAACCACATTGCTTATTGATCCTTATTTTTCCAGCCACATCCAGTACCTATACCTAGGCAAAAAGGCGAGTGTCTATAATACTTAATCGGCTCAACCCTTAGGTAGGTGACAAAAAAAAACTTACACTGGAATAAGCAGATTTCATCGTCCATCATCGCCAGTTTCATCACGATTGAATTCCAAGCGTCAGCAGTACACATGATCAAAGTGACAAAGTCTGAACATCTTCATCGGCATTGGCTTCACCTGTAATCTTCCAGCCAGGCTGGGACCATTGTCACATTCCCAATATTTGTGACCATCGTACCCGGACAATGCAATGGCGACCTGCCGACAGTTGACGGCAACAGAGACCGATGCTCTCGATCAATGTATTGTCAGCTGTGCTGCCGGGACAATCTCGGCTGTCAGGCCGCATCTTTTCATTGACAGCTCAACTCATTTGGAAAAGATGTATATTCTCCGGATGGGTGACGGGTCGTACTTGCAACCACAACGCCCGATGTGCCACCTTGCGGCAAAATCTAAGACTATTACTTCATAGAGAGGTCGTAGGTAAGTCCGTCGGTGGTCTTCGCTGCATCGTCCCTGTCTTACAAGGTAGCTAGTAACACTCCTTTCCATGCTTCTATCCTCAGGATACTGAAATCCTTCTCCTCCACGCCGCAACCCCCCTCCGGGCTGGACAGGCAACTTTATCTCATGCGGGCTGCTCACTTGGAGCGGCACCGCTGCTCCTGAGGGAGCGCACCCCGTAGCCGGGTGCAGTGAGTGCCTTGGGGCTGGGTGGCCTGTCCTCTGGACGGGCTCAGCCCCGGCGACTCACTAGGGTGCCTGCCCAGACCAATGTCTCCCCCTATATCCTATCATCCTTCCGGCTCTGCAATGGTCTTGTCGACCGAAAGGGCCTAACCCAACAAAACAAACAATCGCGCCCTGTTTACACCGGCAAGGATTATCGACCAGTTGTGCAGCGCGGCATGAACGCAGGAGCGAACTAAAGGTGTCCGAATTGGTCGGGACACGCACCGGCCGAATTGAGCTGCGGTCGCCGTGCGTTAAAGAGGCCGTGGGGTGCCAGTGGTCGAGTAATGGCCTTTCAATTGAGCGGTCCATAGAGGCCGGCCTGTGACGGCTCTGAGTACCCAGCGCGCCCACACTGCCTCACTGGACAAAGGGCCCGGTCAAAAGGAAGCCATCGCCGCCAGAAACGTTTTAAATGAATGATAATATTCGTCGTAGTGCGCCGCTGCACCACCATAGACATCCTATAGGTATAGTACTTATAAAGCATACATATTAGTACTCCTCGGTAGAAATGCAATTATCTTACAAATATCGTATCTAACCTTTACATACGCATGCAAAATTTGGTGGAAATACTTATGTAGAGACATAGGTATTCAATTCCAACGGGAAGCGAAACGCTTGCTGTCCATGAGATAGGTACTTACACAGAGAAATGGTATATGAAGCACTTCCAGCCGGTCGGCCTCTCGAGGAAGTTGTAGATCCGACCCTGACACGTCGTCTTGACGTGCTTACGATCCTTCACACAGTTGTAAAGGTGCGAATCGCTTAGCCGCGTAGTGCTGGTTTTGTCTGAAACAAAATCGTCCAGTAACATGAACATTCAGAAGTCAGCAAATGAAATGGATGGCTGTGATGAGCATCGTTATATATACTATGTAATACGAGAAGTAGTAGCCTTCGCTCATATTAATGTTCAAATAATGCACAAAATTGGATATATAATACATATTAAAATAATACTGATATTTCGCCTTGCGGCATCATCAGAGATGATGCCTCTGATGATGCAGCAAGGCGAAATATCAGTATTATTTTAATATATCCAATTTTGTGCATTATTTGAACACTAATATGAGCAAAGGCTACTACTTCTCGTATTCAGAAGTCAGGTTAGTCTCACATATATGGATCGTGGGTTTCTAGCGGATGATGAATGATCTTCACAAATCAAACGTTAGTTCAGCTGTTCGGGCCCGTGAATCATACGTAAGGCGAACGTCACTATATAGGTGCTAATGAAACTTCACGGTAGATATCAATTTCTGATAATGTCGCAGCCCAGCCCGTCTCAGCGAGTCAGGGACTTCCAAATTGAACAGGCCGATTCGCAATCGGTCACTCTGCATGGTAAGAGAAGCTGCCCTGAGCCCTCATCCGTTACCTAGTGGGACTGCCATTACTCCAGAATGTCGCAGGCAAGCCCATCTTAGAGAGGGAGGGACGCCCAAATGGACAACCCCGATGCGCAAGGGGTGAATGCGATTTGGAAAGCTTGTCGTCGCACGGTTTTGGTTTGGTATTCCTAGGACAGTGTGATCAAGAAAGAAGATGGGCTGCTACGGGTCCTGACCGTGGTTCACCTGGTCGATTTTAGACTAAGTGCAAAGTTCGTAATAAGTCATCCAAGTTGATAAGTGCAACAAGTTTTATATGCATCCCTCGACCCACCCTGCACTCTAATTCCGAGCCCAGTTCAGTGCGCGACCTGGCCGGTCATCAAAACCTCCTCTCCGTACGATGGCGATCCCGGTCACCTTCCTGCTCAAACTCCCGGTCAGGGCTCGCAAACCAAGATTGACGATCCGAGTTGCAGCATCCGGGCAGTGGCACGCACCAGCCCTGGGTGGCAATCAGCCGAGTGGCCAACCCAACGGCGGTTCAGGTGGCTGCGGAGGCTGTGGTTGTCGGTGGGTTTTGGGCTGCAGTGCATAGGGCAAAAGGGCCAAAAAGGGCGTAGACAGTGAGCGATAGGTCATACGCGGCGGAACAGGGAGGGCACCGGGACACCGTGCCCCCCTTTGATTTTGGCATTTTAACATTAGCCCTATGGGCGTTGCATGGAAAGAATGAGACCAAAAGTCGGCAGTGCCCCCCCCCCCCCCCTTAATTGAAGGCGTTCCGCCGCTACTGCGGTTAAAGGTTACTTTGCAGTGAGCGACACCGGGAAGCCTACAGCTAAGTTACTAAGCAGGTACGATTTTAGAATGCCCTTCACTGATTTGACTTTCGCCTATGATATGGATTTATCTATTTCGTATATTGAAGTGTAAACGGTTTGTATGAAAAGCCCCAACGAGTTCGCCCAATGCTGTTTGCTGAAACTTTCGAGGCGGTGCAGGGTTCTCCATAGCCACCAGGCTTCACAGCCTCCATCACCATGGCAACATCGGGCGTCTTCATATCCGGTAGATTTTCGTCTTAGGCTATAGAAGTCACAATTACTCTTCATACAACGGCACAGCCTCTATGTATGTTTAGCACAGAGAGACCTGATGAAACCCCTGGGAAATCAGGTGTGCGCAATGGACAATAAAATGTGCCCATTTCCATTTGTGACGCATTATAGCGTTACCCTGTTCGCTGCTTTTATTCTGCCGCGCACAAGGGTGTTGTGCGCATATTAGTGAGAAAAAGATAAAACGTGCAGAATAATGTTATATGCAATGCCAGATAAACAACAGAAAAATAATAGTATATGTTATCATCAATGTTGCACTTTATCTGCATGTTGAAAAAAAATGAAATAAAAGCAAGTGCCAGAGACGGCTTGAACTATCATGAAATTGTGAAAGATATCTATAGTTAATTAATGCCATCCAATGAGATGATTAGATTTAGGACCACTTAATGACGTAGTCTTAATCCTTAGCTTGCGGCGCTAGGCTTTGAGTTTACGACGTGGTGAGGAGGTTGTTGGAGCCGACTGCCCAAACAAGTCCATGGTTCGATGTTTCACATCCATATACTCACATGAATTGGGCTTCCTGATAATGACTATGTAACTATATTGATTTACCTGCTCGGCTGATTTTTAGGGACTGAATTATTTAAACTAAACATCGCTTAACCCGCGCCCTGCTGTGGGGTGTTTTAACACCCCCTTGTGGTTTTTCGCGAATATGCCGCCGTTTTTGCTACACCTTATCATACATCAATTCTACACATGTTGTGAAAATTTCAGACCAAGGTCATTCACGGTCAGGTCACCAGATCACTTGAAGTGACCTCACCTCATAAAAAGTTTCAATGTCTGCCATAGCTACACCGAGTGACCGATCGCTTTGAAACTTTTAGCGATTGCTTAGAGCAATAGCATGTACAAAATGTTTATCTCAGAATTTTGATATCGATGACCTAAGGTCAGGTCAATTTTGCGACCTCCCCATTATAAGTCAATGGGAGAAAATTGAAATGCGCCTCTTTTGGACAAATGACATTATAAACACTCCCAAACACTGAATTACAAGTGGTTTAGACACCCTGAACATGAAAATGGTGTCTGTGACCCCTGTTTATGCCCCTGAGGCCATCTTAGGTCACAAATGGTATCTAACAGTTTTTCGCAAATAACTTTTGATAGAGGCATGCTAGAGCGATGAAAACGCCTTAGATGTGTTCAGCTCGACGATACGGATCGACTGATATGCAACATGACCCTTTCCGGTCAGGTCATGACCTTGACCTGAGATCAAATTTTCAAGTTGACCTTTCAAGGTCAAGTTATAGTTCATTCGATGCGTCTTGACGAGAGGAACACGATGCCGGTAAAAGTAAGCTCGTACAAGGCTTGGGTCAAAAGTTATTGCAGAAAAACTGTTTCCGAAAAAATCGGCTATTTTTGCAGTTTTTGCCCCCTGCAGGCAAAACCGTTGACGTTAGGTCAAATCTGAGAGAATTACTCAGAAAGGGCGTTAATAGTAGAGTTCTGCACGGCTGCAATTTTCCACAGCCTAGCCGCCCCGCAGCCGTGGCTCCACAGCCACAGCCGCCTTCAGCCGTGGCAAAGTGTGGGCAGCCAGCCGTCAGCCGGCCGTGGATACCTTCAATGAAATGCAACCAAAAAGTATATAATAAGTTGTTTTTAGTTGAAATAGCCAAAAGCACATTGCAATGAGCTATAGATTCTCAAGCTCATGAAGCATCATAGGTTAAGTGGTTGTGTATCTGGCTTTAGGCCAAAGGCCTGAAGCCTGATGCGCAACGCATGCCTACACAAGCCCTTGCAAGGGGTTAAAGGGACCCTCCCACCTTCAAAAAAGTTTATGAATTGGCATGAAAGTGATGTCGCTCGGTTCAGAAAGAGCGAAAACGAATATCTACCAAATTTCACCGAAAAATATTCACCGGTTTTCAAGATATTAGACTTTTACTTTTGTTTACTTTTTTGGGATCTCCGCTGTTGCTAGCGACTTTATTTTAGAAGTGCGGCGTTTGCGGCAGATGTTGCGCGCAAATATCATATACCACCGCGTGCTACAAAACGTTTTAGTCAAACATTTAAAAATCGTTAGATATTTGCGCTGACGTCACACATTCAGAGGGGTATTCCTAAGTAGTGATGTCAATTACGGAAAATCGGAATACCGATACCAAACCAAATACCAACCAAAACCACGGGAAAATACCGAAACTAAACCAACTTGGGAAACTGAGGGAAATACCAACTTTTTACCGATTTCTTAGCCTCTTATACATTAGTGAGGGCTTATGATACCAACAAAATACCAAACACATTACGATTGAAATACCAAATACCAACTTGGTATCGGTTTGGTATCGGTATACCAAAAATTTGGTATCCGATTGACATCTCTATTCCTAAGCATTAGCCCCTCTGAATCAAAATGCTGCAATTTTGAAATTCAATATTTCCGATTTAAGGCATTTCTCGATGTTGTGAGTGCCGAAACCGGTAATTGTGAGCCAGGGACCCCATTTTGGCTATCTCAACTCAAATCTAATGTTAAGGTGGGAGGGTCCCTTTAAGAAAGATGGTTAGGTAGATACCTACATCAACAGAAAACATAAACAACGAACCAGAATAGAAGCACTAGCAGTGTAGGCATCTAATGCCAAATCCTGAAGCATGGTTGTGGGACAGAACAACAGACCCTGATGCTTTTCATTATCAATGTTAGGTATGGAAAATGAAACTGAAGTTGATGGACTGTCAAACAGTGATTGTCTAGTCAAAACTCTTGCTTCTTTCTTACCTTGCATATTTTCTGGGGTGTGATATGCCAGGCTTGAAGCAGCCTTCTGAGCAAGTCTCAAACTAATTTGATATGCAAGGAATCAAAACACTAGTGAGCATCCAAGAAAGAAAAACATTCATCTATTTTGATTTTTCCAAATAATGATCTTCGCTCAAATCCCCAAGGTCGTGCGAGCCACAATTGCCTCTTTCAATCAAAAATTTTACTTGAGTTTTTAAAGGTAGACTGCCACCTTTTTTTCCACAAAACGGTTTTCACTAGAGCTGAGCCACCTATGTCCCAGACTGAAGTCGGTTTTCCGAAATTCGAACCCGTTTGCGAGAAATCGGAGACCAAAGTTCAGTTTGATGCCATTTTTTAGTCCAAGAAAACCGACATCTCTACTGTTTATCGATAACTTTGAAACATGAATTTTCTTATCTTTTGGTAAATATATGTCAAAACTTTGATTGTTTCGAGATCAGAGAAGAATTTTGGAGTGTCAAAATAAAAGTTAAACTTATATATTCAGTAGTTCATTTTTTCCAAAAAAGTGTGGGAAATGGGGTTTAACATGGGCCAAACCCATTCCAA